ACGTATATACATATAGATATACATTTATCTCTCTATATATACTATATACTTATGCATACGATTTTCATTATAAAATCGCAGCTCAGACGGCGTGTCTCGCGTTTCGATCTTATAAACTAATCAGCAGGTAGTCTAAAGAATATCAAATATATGTATATGAAAAAAACACAAACAAAAACATTAAGAGCAGCTAAAACATAATCAAATATACGAAGAGCAACTACAACAACAACATGGAATATTGAATGAACAAATTTCGAGTATGCACATATATTAAACTGGTGAGTTATCAGTCAGTCAGTCAGTCAGGTTTATACTACTCTTGAAAATTTATGCTCATATCTGCATAATCGCAAATTAAGCTACATAATTAATAAGCCAAAAGGGCCCTCAGCCGCTGTCAGATGTTGATAGAGCACCTTAGTATGCCATCAACTGGCCAGGCTGCTGCTCTGCCGCTCTGCTGCTCTGCCGCTCTGCCGCTCTGCTGCTCTGCTGGGCAGCTAATAAAACCCAAACACAAACACAGCTCAATACACTTGACTATGTATTGTGTATATGTATTGTCTCTCTTGTTGTCTGTCTGTCTGTCCGTCTGTCTGTCTGTGCATCTGTACGTGCCACTGCGTACCGTAAAGTATCAATGTCTGTAATCTTAATTAGCAACACCACAGCGTTCGAGCCGCAGCGCCAGCCACTCGGAGCCCAAACATCTTTTAGCATTTTAAAAGCGTCGTGTACAACTTTGTTTTTGCTTTTTGTTTCTTAAATCGAACTTGTGAAGAAAAATGCTTCAACCGGTTTTGTATCATATTTTTTTCTCTATGTTTTTTTTTGTTTTTGTACTGGAGCTGAAGGTGTTTTTGTTGAAAATGGCCAGCAAATAAACAACGGGCGATTTGAACAAACCGCAGAGTCAAAGCGACCGACACGCCTGCCTTTATAACCGGCTGCCCCATCAGGCCGTTAACAAACTTAACCGCTCATATATTAAATATGTAAAAGATATACGTTCATACATACATGCCTGCATGCATATATATTTTAATGCGTGTGTATATATGCTCAAGGAATCTGAGCAAACAAGCAAACAGGCTAACAGGCGCTCCCAGAGGAAAAGCGCCTGCGGCTACGACAAACCTGCAGTTGTTGTTTAGTGGAATACCCTTATCAAAGGTTGCTCAGCATTTTGATGAAATTACGTAACACTTGAACTGGGATACCCAGCTAAAGAGCAGCAGGATTATAAATGGGCCATTAGATAATTATATACATTGTTGATGCGATTAGATTGCGGCATTTGTCTTTTGCTAACTTTTAGTTCGAGACTAAAGTTTGAATCAAGTTGCCTCGTTAGTTAGTTTGTATATATTTATAAGCATATATATAACTCTGAAGAGAGATTAGACTATTAATCAGAGTTTGCGAAGATTTCCCTTAATCAAGGTTACTTTGAATATTTATGAAATTATGTAAAATGTAAATAAATAATAATATTCAGATAAGATCTATTATAGGATTCAGATAATAATCAGTCTATGTGTCTCTGTATATAAACATTTATTAATATTTGTAATGGTGATTAAGAAATGGAGAATTCATATTGAACTTTTGACTACCTGAAGCAAAGTTATCATTGACTTTTGAATTCATATTTATTATCACATGTAGCAGTTTAACAGAGATATGTATATCTAAAGTGCATTAGCTTATTACATATACATACATTATTTATACATACATATATTGATGCATGTGATTGAAACAGATATGGATACGTGTCCTATCAAATTGAGCCTAATAAAATCTGATTATTTCGGATATTAGAGTTTACTAGGTAAACTTTTTTTTAACATATGCAACATATTAACGGAGACTTATATAGAGTATGCTAAATGTTATATATATATGATAGATAGTTATATTATTTATTGGTTGGCATTTAAGTTATTTATTATATTATTTTGGAGATATTGATATATCTGATTGATCTAGGCGATTAACTATCAAATTATTCAGTTTTGAACTAAAATATATTATATAAAATCCATTAAAATAAATCAAATAATTTTGTTTTGGTTTTAAATGAATTATAAAAATCAAATTATTCAGTTTTAGACTAAAATCCATTATAGAATTTTACTATCACATTCATTTATGGTAATTAAAAATTAATATATTTTTGGAAAGGTTGTATAAGGTGTTTCTGCTTGAGAAAAGCTTGATTAAACTTTAGCTAAATTCATTAGAATTAGTTAGCTAATGTGTCGTAGAACTATTAGTATTAATTAGTATGAGTATATAGGATTATTGATTAACAAATTATGGAACACATTTTGAAGCTGGCAATTTTCAATATAATTGTAATATAATGTAAACAAAAATATAACTAACAGAAATAAACTCTACAATGACTCAAAATGCTGCCTTACTTCACTTAAATATCTCCCTTGTTCGTTAGTGTATTCAGGCCTCGTCATGCCATGTAAATTTTCTGTGTAGCACCTCTACTGCTGCTGCTGCTGCTGCTGCTCCTGCTGCTGCTCTTATTAAAGCGTGTGTTTGGCACCTCTGGCTGCGTTTAAAATGCAAATATCTTTTGATCTGCTCTCATGCTGAAAAACAAATTCGCACCTCGCTGCGAGATGTGCCAATGAATGACACGCCCCAGTCCAACTCAGCTCGCCCTCGGCGCCTCGCTTACTAGTTCCCCATCTCTCACACACACACTTACATGTATGTAGATGCGCCGCACTTAAAATGATTTTTTATGGCGGGAAGCGTTTTAATTGCTTCCATTAGAAAACGCTTAGCACTATTTAAGTTGGCCATTTGCAGGCGAATATTTAATTGTAGCCGAGTGTAAGCGAACTGTGTTCAAATTTACATAAATTCCCTGGCCCAGAGCTCACAGCTCATTGCTGCTAGCTGGTAGCTGGTAGCTCGTAGCCATGGCTACAAATGCAAATAGCAAAGTTCACAAACATTTGATTTGCCAAGAAAATAATCACAAATGGAAATTGTCAATTAAATTGCTTTGAAAATCACATTAAAAACAATTTACGAAAATTGCTAAAAAAAAAAAAAAAAAAAAAAAAAAAAAAAAAAAAAAAAAAAAAAAAAAAAAAATAAAAAAAAAAAAAAAAAAAAAAAAAAAAAAAAAAAAAAAAAAAATTAAAAAATCAAATCAAATAAAAAGTAATAAAAATAATTAATAAATCAACGCTTCTATTGTTTATTATTTGTGTTATCTTTTCCCTTTGGCTTTTAGGCAGCTTTTTTGTTTAGATAAAACCTAATGAATTTCCAATGAGCAAGAATTCAAGTTCATTGATACATGTTTTACATTAGTCCGAACCGGTTGAGTACAAATCTCTGGCTGGCATTTCAAATTCCATATTCAAGCTCGAAAAGCTGAAAAACTAGCCCCCCTTTGGCCCAGGGGCCCATTGTCTGCGCTGGTAGCCAACAATAATCAACTGAATTCATATTCATAGGCAAATTGTGGCTGCCACACATTATTTTTATTTATTTTTCGTTTTTGGCATTTTTTCGTTGTCTAGAATATCGTAATAATTAATTAAGTTATAATATTAAATGTCCATAAAGGGGCATTATGGCCATAACTTTGAGTGCTTGTGGATATACGTATAATCATGAGCTATGCTTGATTGGCCACGACATCTTCAAAAGTTTGTGAAAAGCGCCATAACTCTTTTGTCTTATCAGCTGAGATCTGAGCTGAGGAGCCTTATAGAGAGCAAGCAGACATACATTGTTGTTGTTGTTGTTCTTACTCTTGTTGTTGTTTGCTAGAGTAGCTTTTGTGTCGCATTCCGTTCAAGCACAATTTATGGCCAAGATGAGAAGTTGAGATGCCTGGGTGGGGTTATATTAGATTGAGGAAGCGAACCATTCATGCTTACACTTTCTTAGCCCCAGTCTAACAAAGTTATATATATGTATGTGTATACGTATTACTTTTTTTTTATGTGAGCTGTTCGCAGTCTCTCTTCTTGGCCATGCGAACCATGTGCCAAATAAATGACTCTACATTTTTAAAGATATTATGCTGACAGTTGAGCTTAAGCGTTGCAAAAGCACCTAGAAATGACAAAGAAACAAAAGCCAAAGCAGAAAAAAAAAAGACAGAAAACTAGAATCTACCCAATATTTATTGAACGATTGACCACAATCACGTCATGAATTCGTTCTCTCATGCCCATGAGCTCATTCATCAAAAAGCAAAGATTTATACAGAAATCATAAGTTGATAAGCTTTGCGTTTGATTTTGCTTTTGGTTTTGCTTTCGCTCTGGCAAGCAAATAGTCGCAATTGTTGTTGGCTAGAAAGAAAAAAAAGGGAGAGCAATAAAAGTGCAAATTGTAAGCCGGAAAAAGGATTTTGTTCTTGGCACAAATTGCTCTGGCTACAAATACCTGAAATTTAGAGCCAGCCGAGCATCAATCATATAAATATTAATATTTTCAAACATTGCTCAACAAATTCCTTAATTGCTGCCAGAGATTTGCTCTTTGTGTTTAATTTAGTGTGAGGCGATTTTATTTTTATTTTTATTTATTTATAATTTGATTGCAGACTTGAAAGGGTATTTCCGTTCTGCCTCAAAATTTGTTTCGTTTTTATTGAGTTTAATTGATTTTTTAATAGAGATATATGTGACTAAATTTTGTAAAAATTTGTTTTGTTCACAGGCTTGTTAAAATATTAAGAATAAATCATAAAATGTTGGGATAGTCAAACTATTTATTAGCTAATGTTAATAATAAAGATTTGTTTTGCTGTGCCAAACACAATGAATAGTTTCATGTTTCTGACATCAGAGCGATTGATTAATTATATGGCAACATTTATTATATGTAAATAAACATAGAAATATATATAAAATTTAATTATATAATTATGTATATTAAAAATACAAATAAATATAAAATAATTCACTACGTGATATATTATATAACATATATTTATATAATATACATATATACATAGAAATATTATTAAAATAGATATATTTTAGTTATCCTCGTAATTGCTTTGATGAAGTTAGATCCATGTCTCAACTAGGCTGTTCTTCTAAGATAAAAGCTTCATCTCTTTGACTCCATTGACCCTTTAAGCGCAAATTAGAGAGTTGATGTAGCCCTAGACGAAATAAGAGAAGGCAATCAAATCACATAATCCCTTCGGTTAACTAGAGTCATTCTCTAAGTTGTGAAACTTCGTCTAGAGCTGACTTGTTGTAAGCACACCTCGTTACTACCCATCATTATCATACTTCATCATCATATCATGACTAATGACCATAAACACTCAAATAGAGCCCCTCCCTCAGTTTCCTCACTCACAAAGCTCAATTGAGCTGATCGCCGTCAAATTGTCGTTTTTTCCTGTGTCTTCTTTAATGTTATTAGCGAACAGAGCTTAAGATCTAAATTATGCTTAAACGGAACGAATGCTGAAATTCTCCACTAACAAATGAGTCGAATATTTCAGTAGCATTTCTTAATTAATTCCATATATTTAAAGGCAGTGTTTCACAATGAAATGGCAAAGTTTATTAAATATTCCATAGATCTTATCAATAACTAGAAATGCTGAATGCTGAATTATAGCTATTGGCAAATGTATTTCTGTTCTATGGACACGCTTTAAATATATGAAATTATGTGGACAAAAGCTTGTTGCTTCTATATGAAAGCCAATTATATAAATAGCTATATATATATATATATATATATGTATATATGTACATATATGTATATTTACTCCAACTTTATGGAAACCTAATCAACTACATCTGAACACAAAGCTCAGAGATTTACAATTGAATTCACATTGCTCAAGTTAATATTTCCAAGTAGCTTGTAATGTCGCAAAGCATTTGGAAATTTCACTTTCAATTGCGCTTCATAATTTGAATACAATTAATGCGAGAGCTGAGCAGCAAATGCCAGGCAAGGGAACTTAATGAAAATCAGGACTTCGGCATGCCGATGCTACATTCGAGTAGGCACATATTATCCTTTATGTTCTGCCTCAGCAGGGCACTCGCTCAATAATATAATTAATTAGTGCTTTGAGATGCAACTAAATTGGGTAGAGAATAGCGATGGCAAGGTCTTAACATTGTGAATGGTATTACAAGTCATGCATATGCGCTTTGTCCACAGCCAGGAGCCAGCCAAGATGGTCGCTCAGCAGCCTGACACAGACACTTAATCTCCACTCGAATGCGACTGCAGTAAGCACTTGATGCTTAAATGAATTAATAAGCAAACAACAAAAGAAGCACAAAAATGGATGCAAAGCTCAACAACGAACACGACGATTGCAATTGCCCCCAGGAGCACATCAGACATCAACAGCAGCAGCAGCAGGAGCAGCAGCGGAAACAACAGCAACAAGAGCTCCATCAAAGCTGTCGGAGTTGCCCGCTGCGCAGGACTGAATATATGACAATGCTGCATTTAGTTTTCCGGCTGCTGTTGGCTGGCTGCTGCTGCAGCCTGGCGGCGTGCTCCTATCTGGAGCCGGACGAGCTTATACACGAGCTGGATCGTCCGGTGCCGCTGACATCGGTGCAGGGTGTCCTCAGCAGGCAGGCGATGCTGCCGTGCGATATAACGCCGCTCGAACGGGACGATGCCGTCTATATGGTGCTCTGGTTTCGCGAGGGCGACGGCGAGCCCATCTACAAGTGAGATTTGTGTTAGCCAACAACTAGCTGTGCCATTTTAACAACAACGGTTTTCTCTCTCCCTCTCTCCCTCTGCCCTCTGTCTCTCTGCTGTCGCAGCTTTGATGTGCGTGGCCGTCAATTTGGTCAGGCGCGTCTGTGGTCGTCGCCGCTGGCATTCGGGACACGCGCCCACTTCAGCAGCACCTCGCATCCTGCTCAGCTGAAAATCGACAATGTACGCATTGAAGATGAGGGCGTTTATCGCTGCCGTGTGGACTTTCGTAACTCGCCCACTCGTAATCTAAAGATAAACCTAACTGTTATTGTGCCACCGGATAGACCCATTATCTACGAGCCCAACCGACATGACAAGACCAGCAACGTGGAGTCCTTTAACGAGGGCAACGATATCGTTCTGGCCTGCGAAGTTACAGGCGGTAAGGCTCCCACTCCCACTTTTATTCCTCCTCTATGCATATACATATATTTATATATATATATATATATATTTAATTGCCCTAATGGGTTACAGGTCGGCCGCGCCCCAACGTTACCTGGTACTTGGATAACACGGTCATCGATGAGTCATTCGATCAGCGGCCCGATGGCAAGACCATTAACCATTTATCCTATCCCAATATTGGAAGACAGCATCTAAATTCGCGGCTCGTGTGCGTCGCCAGCAACACGAATCTGACGCCGCCGAACAACAAGGTCGTCATACTGGATATCAACTGTAGGTGCCAGCACTAGGTCATAGGCAGAACTTGAAGCTCATTCTCCCTCTCCCTCTCTCTCTCTCTCTCTCCGCTTGCAGTAAAACCTGTTGCCGTGCACATCCTAACCAAGGATCGCTTTGTATCCGCGGATCGCACCTACGACATTGAGTGCAAAAGCTCCGGCTCCAAGCCGGCGGCCGTAATCACCTGGTGGAAATCCAATAAGCAGCTGAAGAAACAAACCAAGAACGTAAGTATTTAGCATTAGAGAAACAAAGCCAACAGCAATCAATAGATACGAACAGCTAAGCTAAACGCTCCCATTAGCAACAATAAAGCATAATTATTAATAATGTGGAAACATGCATGTGTTTTGCTTAGTTTAGTTCAATTATTAATTGACCCATTTACAATTTTTACAACTACAAAAATTGCTTCCAATCAAACACAATATTTATATGTATCAATATTTTACGTTAAAGTTATGGTTGGTTTTGCCTTTCCCTTTCTAGGCCCATATAAATAATTCTGTATATACATATATATCCATATATATGTACAGCATTTAAGTAAATTACTAATTAGCGCAATCGAGCGCTGCCTTAAGGCCACGGAAACATAAACAAAGCATAATTGATTCAAATTACATACATAGATAAAGCGTTCAACATTTTTGGGTACACTTGGAGAATAAAGGGGCCACATGAATAGACTAGATATTGATTTATGTATGTTGAAGCATAAAGTTGAGCACTTGCTAATCAGACGGCGAGGGTGGTCTATAAAATTGCATTGTAGCTGTTCTTACCAGCTTACAAAAATACAGTATATATTATGTATAAAACAATTATAAGCTATAAAAATTATACATACTCAAAGTAGGTAGATAAAATTTTCGTTCGTGATTTCCGATGAAAAGAATAAATGAGTAAAATAATTGAATCATAATTCAATTAAAAATAATGTGGAGCTTCGTTGAAAAAAAATAGATAAAAATTACATTGATTAAATAAAAAAAATTTTTATAGCTAAAAGTTTTTCCAATTTTTTTTTTTTTAGTTATAGAATAAATGAAAGCTTTCAAAAAAATAATTAGTTAAAGATATTTGTTTATTTTCCATGACACTTAAATGAATTGCATTTAAAACTTCATAAGCCACCCTCTTATTTATTTTGTATACTAAATTTTGAATAAAAAAGTATGGTCAACATAGGCTGAAAGACGAACCAAGTTATAAAGCACAACATCAATTTTGAATAAGTGAATAATAATTTAAATTTAAATTATTTTTAATTTGCTTCAAAAACTTTTAGGCTAACCTCGTACATATTTTCTGCTCTGATTTATGCAGCATTTTCTATTAAGCAAATTCGAAATTAGTGGACTTAACTAGTTTAGCCTATATTTTATAGCTCAACATTTTGAACCAGCTTTTCGGCCATTAGGAATTCATTGCTTAAAAAGATAAGACAAATGATTATAGTTAGATGGAGAAACAAATCAATGTCAGATATCTCACATATATCTGGCTATCAATCTATCAATTTATCTACCTCTGCAGGCAGAATGTAAATTTTATAAAAACTGATATTTTGTCGTAATTAAAAAAGAATAAATAAAAGAATAGTAGAGAACAATAGAAGGTATATCAAATTATCGTGTTGGACTGTCGCTATAATGATAGCTCTCAGTGTATATCTCTGTCCTTAACTCTCTGTCAGATTAATCAGGGTATAAAGTCAGCTTGAGCTACCGTTAGCTGCTGATAGGTTTATTGTCAAACCCTATTGACTTCAATTGAATGCTGTAAAGATAGATTAATAAATAATTAATAACGCTCGGCCGTTTGGCATTTCATAAGTTCGCCAGAAATCAACGAGACGACATCATTTATGGACGAGGTCTGCTTTGGGATGTTGCTAAATTTGAATAATTTGTTGCGCTAGTAAATATGTTGGCTCATTATTTATTGATTTTGGCTATTCGGGGCGTTAAAGGCCAGGAGGATACGCTCTAGCTCAGTGTACTTATAATTGCTGCCATTTCCCTGTACATAGATTGACGGTCAGGCGTTGGTCTTTCGTCGTTCGTTGTTCGTTGTTCGCCCTTCGGCTTTCGCCTTTCGCTTTCTCGGTTTCTCGGTTTTCGCTTTCCGTTTTTCGGTATCTATTTCTGTTTTGGTTGAGCTTTAGCTCTTGCCTCAGCTTTCTTTTTCATTATTCATTTCCTAATGGACTCTGTTTGCGCTTCTTTTTTAGTTTAATGAGCCAGACAATCAATCCCTAAGTATACTGACGTTCACACCCACCCGGGACGACGATGGCAAATATTTAACATGTCGGGCAGAAAATCAATTCATCGAAGGCAGCGCCATCGAGGACAAATGGCGTCTCATTGTGCACTGTAAGTGGCCGGTTAGGTATTTAAGGACCTAGCTGAAGCTGCCCGAGGTGGCTGAGTGGGCCAGCCAGCTAGGAATTCTAATTACCACAGATTCCAGCTGAGATACGAGACGATAGGTGAAATTCTGTTTGCATTTCGCAGATCCACCCACAACGATACTGAAGATGGGCTCCTCGTTGAATCCGGACGACATTAAGGAGGGCGACGATGCCTACTTCGAGTGCATTGTACAATCGAATCCGAAGCCCTACAAGATGTCCTGGTTTCACAATGTAAGCTATAATTATTATGTTTGCCATTGCCATTGATGAAGCGACTCACGCAAACCACAACCACATACACTTCACACACACACACCCGCAGGGCAAGGAACTGCAGCACAATATCTCTGTGGGCATCATTCTGTCGGATCAATCGCTCGTCCTGCAAAGTGTCTCGCGCGCCTCGGCCGGCGCCTACACCTGTTTGGCTGTCAACTCGGAGGGCAAAGGCCTCAGTAATCCGGTCACATTGCGCATACGCTGTAAGTAAATGGCCAGACAATCTGTGAACTGCGAGTTCAAGAGGGCCAGAGCCACAGTTTTTGGCATTGCCTGTATCCTCATCTATGTAATTTACAATTTAATCCTTGAGCTTGAATGTCTCTTAATGCATTTGGGCTAACCGGGAAAGGGGGCTTCACGGCTCCTTTGGCCGCACTCCAATCTGCAACGCAGCCAAAGTTTGAAGTGAGTGTGGGCGTGTAGGCGTGGTCGTTGTCGTGGGCGTAACTGGGTGTAAAGTACCGCCATCCCTTTGTGGCACCCTCGGTCCCACTCCTCCACGTTAATGACCAAGATTATGGCACAATGAATGCATGGCCTGGGCTCTTGGCACTGGCTGCGGGTTTGGCACTGCCTCCGACTCTGAATGGTTTTGTGTATTTCAAATGAGTGTGGATGGTAACTGCAGCAGCAGCAGCGGCAGCAGCAGCAGCGGCAGCAGCCAAAGACCAAAATTAATTCATTGGAGTTTTAAAGACCTTTGTCGGCCATATTTGTGCGGTCTATTTAAGCCACTTCCTGCCGGGACATTAAATATTTCAATAAAATGCTTTAATTATTTATTTCGACCCATAGACGCACCCATCTGTGCCATCGACCACGAGCAGCTGCTGGGCGCCCTCAAACACGAGACATTGGCACTGAAGTGCGAAGTGGACTCCTCGCCCCCTGCCGACTCCTTCCAGTGGACCTTCAACTCGTCCGGCGAGCAAACAGAGCTGCCCGCCCGCCTCCACACCAGCGAGGTGAGTGAGCTTTTAAATCAACCCACTAATTGCTAGATATTTTAAGATGATTGAGATGCTTAAGACGCTTAAGAGCTTTTCAAAGGATACCCAGTTACGGATCTTAGCTACTTTAATCCATTTGGCACAACGAGAATTATTCTCGATTTTTGTCGTTGCAGACGGGCATGTCACGGCTAAATTATACGCCCAGCTCAGATCTAGACTACGGCACCGTTTCCTGCTGGGCCAAGAACTCAATTGGCGTACAGAAGAGCCCCTGTGTATTTCAGATTGTGGCCGCAGGTGGATAGACATGATGATATATATCTAACTGGCTGCCTGCATAGCTATCGAATATTCCGTTTCAGGTCGACCTTTTCCACTGCAGAATTGCACGGTCAGCAATCAGTCGGTGGATTCGCTGCAAGTGGATTGCATTGAGGGCTTCGATGGTGGCTTGCCGCAGAGTTTTATGCTCGAACTGGTGGAACTGAACTCGCTGCAATTGGCCAGGAATATTACAATACACGTAAGCCAACTAACTGACTAAGTAACTAACTATATTACATAGATATTCATAGATATTTGCTTATATATATTTACACACTGCTCGCCATCAGAAAAACGCAACTCTGAGTTCCTCTGTTTGTGTTGAATATCTTCTATATTAATTGAGATAAATTCCTAGAATTATTATTCATTTAAGCTCTATTATATACTTCCTAAGATATATGAAAATAGACTCTGCATAAGTCTGTTAACTATTTTTTAAAATATGTTTGAAAAAGAGCTTACAAAAAACTTGTATAGCGACTGACATAAGAATATATTATTATGATTTTTGGAATATTATCACTTAAGGTATTAGACATTACTGATAGGCAATCCGAAGATAGACAATTCTAAGAAAATTATCTAATGAACAATATTTGTCATTATATAATTAGCCAAGAACTGAATTTGAAGCAACTCTTTCAAATGTTTAAGATTCATCTCAGTTTGAGATTTTGAAATAGTTTTTATAGCTCTAATCAATTCTATATACAATACATTAACTAATTTATTCTCTCTCACTCTCTCTCTCTCTCTCTCTCTCTCTCTCTCTCTCTCTCTCTCTCTCTCTCTCTCACTCTCTCTCTCTCACACTCTCACTCTCAATTTCTCCCTCTGTGCAGCACACACCTGTCACATTCATCATTGAGAACTTGGATCAGGCCGCCACCTATCGCATGATTATATTTGCCGTGAATGTAAAGGGTCGCTCGGAGCCCACCATTATAGACGACATCAACTTTAAGGGCGTGGCAAAGCTAACGGGTGAGTTGGGGGCATTGCAATCGAGTTTTAAAGCGTCGAGTAACTAGTTTCGTAATCATAATTTATTACACATTTAGGCAACTCGACGGGGCTCAGTGTGCCGCTCTCGCCATTCCTGGCCGGGCTGACGCTCGTGTGCGGCCTGCTGTTCGCCATATCCTGCATCATATTGGCCGCCATATACAGAAGATTCTCAAATCGGTATGTTTAATGGGGTAGCTTAATGGGCAGCTGCTTTGCCTAATGCACACATTTGAATTGCAGCCGCAACGATAATAATCTGAAGGCCGTAAAGCACACACAATTAGCAATACCGGCTGATTGCCAGCTGGACCCGTTGCATCCCGGACCGCACACGAATGGCCAGGGCCAGTGCCAGGGCCAGGGCCAGGGACAGGGGCAGAGCCAAAGCCAGAGCCAGAGCCAGGGGCAAGGGCATATGCAAAACGAGCAGTCCAATCACCAGGCACACCACAGTCTCCTTCCAATTAATTGTGATAATCGCAGTGCGGCCGAGCGAGGCGCACTGAGCGAAGTGAATGTAGACAGTGGCACGAGGACCTCACCAAGCGGGCACGGGCACAGCCTGACCATGGCCACTGGACGCACTCGAGCCAATTCACAGCTGCTGGGCGATCAGGCTGATATAGATGACACCGATCCCGATGTTATACCCAATCAGTATGGTAAGTTAATTATCCTGTGTGCATCGCTTCCAGGCTTCCACCCATGCCGAATCGTTCACATTCCAATTGCAATTTAGAAAAACGCCCACTGAAGTCACTGGGCGCCTCGCCGGGCTTCGCCAGTCCGGCCACGCGGCTGATGCCGCGCGACTTCTGCACTGGGCGGGATGCGGAGCTGCTCAAGGGCAATGCGGAGAGCGTCGGGGTGATGGCGGGACTGGGCGGCGCGGACGCCAGCACCATTGGCCTGCTGAGCAACTCGGGCAACGAGGTCCTCCACTACACGTTCCGGCCAAGTAAACAAATTGTGAGTAGCTGAAATCATCGGAAATTAGTTAAAGTGATGTGTTTGTGTTATCGCATTGTATATTGGTTATCTGGTTGGAGCCGGCACTCACTCTACTCTATTCTATTGCTTGGCCATTTTCTCCTTCTGCTTTCGTTTACCACAGAGCTATGCGACCCTCAATAAGAAGGGCATAACCACGTGTAGTCCGCCGCTGGGGTCGTTGACATATAACATTAGCACATCGACGCCCTCATCATCATATCATCTAACACCGCAGCCAATGGAGGTCAGCCTGCTCAGTCCGAATAATGCATCGGTGACCTCGTCATTAAGCGAATATCGTTTTCGGCCCGAGGTCGTGACCACCTCGAATCGCATACAGGAAAGTTGTATATAAGCTTCACATATGCATTTAAGCAACATATCTGCATACAATAATTACTCTATACTCTCTCTAAATATATATATATATATATATATTTATACCATATATAGATCAATGTAGTTGCGTGTGCGTGTGCGTGAGTGTATAAACAAAATGGTAAAGAAATGCAAATTGTATTATTAACTATCGTAATACCCAAGCAGCTGCATATACATATATACTTATGTGGATATATAGATATATATATATTTGTTTATATGTATATATATATATTTATATATTTATTCGCATGGTTTGAGGCAAGACTTCTTTAACTTTTAAGCATTTCTGTGTAATTGTTGCATTATTAATTTAAGTAACAATGCCAAAAGTGTAACCGACATTACACTCATTTTGTAAATACCTAACTCGTTGTCATTTGTTGTACTCAAGTCTAATACTCTTAACGCTGAACAACAACAACAACAACAACACCAACTAGTGAATACTGAATGCAGCATCCAAGTCTCGGCTGCACCCACATATCCGTTGTACGATTATTTACCACTACTACCAGCCCACTTTCGATGCAATCCATACATATTCTCACACACTCTATACATACCTTACCAACATATCCCGGAGAGACGCCGAGAAACTGCCAATCATATCTAACGCTCTTTCGCTTTAATCAAAATATCGCTTATTCCCCAAAAATCGTGTGTTAAGTGTTAAGACTACCAATAAATGATTGAACAAAAACAAAAAGAAAAAAACCCCTTCCAAAACAAACGAAAAATCGAATAACCTAATAATTTATGACCTGTTATCACGTTTATCTAAACAGGAACTGCACTCTGCCAGACCCAGCAGAGTTCTGCGGGAGTCACATTTCTGAGAAATCGTACAAACATATACGACTCTAAATATACATATATATATATATCATGTGTACAAAGTATGTCCCGATTTCTGCAAGTCTATGAAAAGTATTACCTATTGATTTTCGTCTAATTTTAATTCGGGTTTAACTCTAGCTAAGTATGTATTTACACTATATATAGGCATATCTAGTTGTAAGGCTTGTATATATATACATCTGATTTAGTATCCAATTTAGTTTTGTGTAAAGAAAGTCTTCATAGAGCATGAAAGTTTTCCCGGAATTTAATTGTGTAACGCCTGAATCGCAACGATAGTGTTGAATTATTTGTAAATAAATGTAATTCTATTATGATATGTTATATACGATGCTGTTGCATAAATAGTTTTATAACATATGGAAAGGCTATCCAAAACTAGACAAATTAAGCGCAAAGTATTAAGTGAATAAGCTACAAAACAGAGATACTATACATATACATATATAAATGTATATATATATGTATGTATATACATATGCTAAATGTGTCCTCAACTAAATTTGCATTGAGTAATTAATTAATTTATTAATGAATTAACATACACTGACTTCCTAAATAAACGTATATATATATATATATATGTATATGTATATATTTATATATGTATGTATATAAATGTGCACGTATGTATGTGTGTATAGAGTCTTCGTATTCGAAGAAGAAGAAATGAGGAAGAAGAAGAGAACACTGTTGGCGACACAGTTTAGCTAATTAGTAATTACATGTATGTGTGTGTGCGTGTTTTTAGACAATTTCTGCCCAAGAAATATGTAAATTTTAAGCTGAAAGCAAAAATTCAAACAAACGGCGAAAATTAGTATAAATTGTCAGCAAAATAGTATTTATAACTATTCAAGCAAAAATACTATTAAATCAATTAAAAAGTAATAAAATGATAAAATTATAAAAAACAAAAAAAAAAATGGTAATTTTCTTTAATTGTTGCCGTTGAAAAACTCGTCGCTTTGATAAGCACTTGGGCAGCAGGAGGCATTGCGGACACAACCCTAACTCCTGCGGCACTAGTACTTAGGAAAGCAATACGTTTTTTTATCTCTGTTCTTTTCGTCAGAAATTCAAGGTAAGTACCACATACTTGTCACAATGGCTCGAAGCCCCTTTTGTGAGCGACCTCGTCGCCTTTAATCCTCCTGCAGCGCTCCAGCCCTAATCCGTTTGCTTTTGAAGTAAGTTCTTCGCTGGTAATCCTGCAGCAGTTGGAAAAAGCTCTTTAGCTTTTAACCTCCTTGTAAAGAGTGCCAGCTTACTTCTCTGCGATTTTCGAGTTCATCAGTTTTAATTCACCTGCAGTAACAATGAGTTCCCTGCCCTCAATTCAGCCGCAATTATGGGATAGGAGTTTCGGCTTAGTTTACCTGAAAAATAGTAAAAAGTCGAGCATTTCGGTTTTTACCCAGACATATAAGGCACAAGAGTTATTTATCTTGAATCATTTCGCATTTCACGTGACTTCTTCAGCTTACGTTCTGCTAGAGATAGAGCAGGCTGAAGGGCGCGTGAGAGAGAGGGAAGGATTTAATCCTCTTCAGTGTTATTCTTTCTGCTATAAGAGCGACATCTCGACATCTCACCTTGTGTCGCGTATTTTACGCAACCTTTTCAGTTTAAGCCCTGCTGCATAATGAGAGAGAGAGACATAAAAGTGAGAGAGAGATGAAGATAATTCTATGGGCTGCACGGGTGGCTCTTGAGTTTCTTCCCAACTGCAATTGCAGCGACTTCTTCATCATTATCGCACGTATTTCGTGCGTCATCTTCTTATGAAGAGCTGCTTCAAAAATCGAAGAGGGATGAAGAGAGAGAGAGAGTGAGTGAGAGAGGAGGGCGGTATAGCATACAACTTTATCCTGTCAGTTTTGAAGCCTGCACTTCGATTTGAATTCTTTTGACATTAGAGCTAGTTCTTCAGCTTAAGTTCCTCTGCAGAGAGAGAGAGAGAGAGAGAGAGAGAGAGAGAGAGAGAGAGAGAGAGAGAG